CTACATATCGAACACGTTGCTATAATCTTTGCTGTTTTTAACTAACAGCAGATTCTGTTTTATGCGGTTGCAATTTAAGGTTTAAGATTTCGATTTGAATTTTTGATTGAAACTGATCAATCTTTAATTTAGAGGCCAGAAACGAAGGTGACACCAGTAGAGGGCAACCAAGATGTCCCTCCAATGAAATTAGCCACAGTGAATTTGGTAGCTTCTGGCCTTCCAATGACATGAAAACCAGGCCAATTTACTCTTCCAGAAGTGCTGGCCCCGGGGCCGATGTTTTCGAATTCTGCAAAGTAGAGTGTTTTGTACGCGGAACCACTGGATCCTGGCCACTCAACCCAACCCCGGGACGAAATAGCGGCATCAATTGTGGATTGCATCACAACAGCTCTTGAATATTCTTTCCAGGGCCGTCCCAAGTATGCACTTTTTGCAGCAGAATAATCTGATCCTCGGTTGATCCTGCAATTTTGGACAGAGAAACCAGTGTTCTGTCCAGGGTCGGACCGGCCATTTGCCAGGATCACGTCGTAGGCCCCACCGCTGCGTGGCTGGCGTAGGACCAAATTACAACTCTGGAACACGGCAACAGCATTCCCGAATATGAAGTCCACCGTACCATATATGTCACATTCGCGATAAAATTGGCGCATAGAGTGTGCATATAAAGTGTCCTGGTAAGCCACCAGGCTGCATCTGTAGAGAACAGAGTGGTCTGAGGCAACATTTAGCGCCACGGCTTGTTCTGCATTAGGCCCAGCCGTGTTCTGAAACCCAATGTCTCGAGCAATGAAGCCATCTCCAGTGATTGCTGACAAATAGAGAAGGTTAATAATTATTGATAATATTAATGTTATGTCTCTATCTTAAATTGAACTGTTTGCCAATATGATCAATCTTACCTCCCTACTCATAAATTGCTTTAAATTGCCCATATGCATGCAAAAATCATTATCACTAGATTTATTTTATTTTCCCAAAAGTTAGGCAGAGTTTGATCCCTGCTTGCAAGAATCCAGGCAGGAAAACTCGAGAATTGTTATGTACAAAGAGATGATGATTACAAAAAGACATGTCAATTTTTTTATCACTCATGAGAGAGAGAGAGAGAGAGAGAGAGAGAGAGAGAGAGCTCACTAAATGTTGCAGATCCTCGAAGGGAGGAGCCTCCATTGCCAACATTACTACTGCCAGAAACGATGGTTGAGTATTTTCCATCTCCAATTAATGTAATTCCGTCCTTTTTGGTGTTAATTTTCTCACTGTAAACTCCAGATTTCACATGTATCACGAATCGGTTTCCAGTTGCAGCCTGGATGGCCTCAGAGATTGTTTTATAGTTCCCGGTCCCATCTTTTGCCACAACAGCATTTGCTTTTATTTCTGTACTTTGCAGCAGTTTCCTGTCACTGGCTGATACCCAACTGGGGAAAATTCGTTCCTCCATTAGACGCCGGCCTGAAGGTGTTTTGGTTCTCGTCTTTCCAGTGATTCGGTTCACCAGGGCAAGTGGATTACTAACCAATTGTGAGAGATAGTCCATTTTCTTGGAAATATCAGCCATGAACACATTTGATGGAGCATGAGTCTCTGCTTCATCCTTGCAAGTTTGTTGAAATGTCAAGGCAGCACTCAACCACGTCTGGATGTCAGATTTATGTTTTCTTGGCGAATCCTTGAGTGCATCCAAGGCTTGGTTGAGTCGTTTGAGTGACATTCCGATCAGCTCATGACAATAATCTGTATATATTCATTAAAAAACAGAAACAAAAACAAAAAAAAGACGTTATATGAGCTCAAAATTATAGCTAAAAGGAAATTATAGCATGGTGGAAAAAGAGTGAGTTAAAATAACAGCTACTAGTACCAATAGCCATTCGAGCATGTTGGGCCTCTCGAGAAACAAAATGGACACTGAGTTGCTCAAAGTTAGAAACAGGCAGCTTGGATTCATAGATTGTCTTGTTAACAAGGACAGATATGAAATCAGCTTGGTTTCTAGAGCCTGATACTCTCAGGGTCTCTGCACACAAGCTTGGATGTCTGGTGAATCCACATTGAAGTCCTATGTTCTCTTCATAAGGGTTTTTTGTTGACCAGGACACACTACACGAACTTAATATTACTAGTAGCAAAATTACAGCACATTCTAGGGTTGCCATTTTCTAGAAAAGGGAAAAGGATAAGTTAATTAACCCGAAAATGGTATTCCAAGTAGGATTTGTTGTGGTTTAAAATGAGGGGATGTGTTTAGCCTTTTATAGTGAGGTTTCCTGGCCATGCATCTTGAACATTTAGTGTGTTAGCTTGGATGTCAATTTCTTTGAGACTGGTACCTGCTTGGAAGCATGTAATCATTATTCAACTATTGACTTCATTGTGGAGAACTAAGCTATTATTTGACCCAAATTTTTAAAAATTTCATTCTTCGTTCAATTCATTTTCAATCATATGTTTTATGAGCTCTACAATTTTTATCAACTTTTCATTTATACATTTAATTAACTTTTATCGAAATCTGACTTTTATTTAAATGAAAAATGAGCTAAACAAGACTTTTCAATTAATTTTAGTTTAAATTCCTCGCTACCCACTTTGTGGCGGATAAAATTCGAATTAGTATATAATAGGCTATATCTAAAAGGGAACATCCTATCTCAACTCCTATAGGGCTGAGTCCCAAACTTTTGTCCAAATTGCTTTTTGGTCCAATCCTTTCAAATGTGATGCAAATGGTTCCAAACCTATTCCTTTTTTTAGTCAAATTGTCCTTTTGGACATTATCCATCCAAAAAGATTGTTAGTTTTGTGCGTGCAATGCTATCACCCTTATTTCGTTTTTATTTCAAGGAGATTACTACTTATTATCTTTAGTGATTTTCATATTTTCTAAACTTGAAGTACTTTGGATTGAAGGATGAAAACTGTATATTGTGGAGTCCAAGTAACAGATATATAGATAAATTTTTACAGATAATGCAGTCCAAGTCCTTTTTAGACGTGGATTTTGCAACCCCAATTTTGTCATCTCCATTTTCTGTACCTGTCGTGACTCCAATTACATGTTCATTATCATTTTAATTTACAGATTTTTAGGAAACTAACTGAAAAGATTGTTCTTTTCATGTGCCACAAGGAAAATTCATCATTTATTTATAGAAATTTTATATGATTCAACCTTTTTTTTATGTATTCAATTTTATAATAAAAATAAATAAATTTTCTTTTAACATAATATAGGAAAAGTTCATTCTTCTTGTTCTTTTTCAAAAGAAAATGTCCCCACAATTTTCTTGTTCTATATTTTTTAGTAAATTGAAATATATAATATCAAGTTCAATAATTGAGGTGAACAACAATTCTGTTTGGCTTCTTTGTCCTTGTGGCTGTAGAAATCTTTATTGCACATAATTTTAAATTATTTATTTTATAGTTTTATTCTTTATCTTGTTTTGTAATTACATATTTGTGTGCTGATTTTATAATAGGTATTAGAACTAGCTCTTGAAGATGTATTGAAGGAATATTCTGACATAATTTCAGGGGTAAAACTCTTGGATTGCAATATACATTGCATTATGAAATGTGAAATGCAGTGACTAGTGAAAAGTATTGATTATTCTCTAATAGTTTTATAAATACTCTTGTTCATCAATGGATGGCCTGGAAGGAATGAGCTTTTTCTATTTTTTGTTATATATGTGTGCGTGTGTATTGTTATGAATGGGAAAGTCATTTGACAAAATTCCTGCTTGAAATAAAAACAAAATAAGACCAATTGATAGCATCCACAAAATTAATGACCCTTTTGGATGGAACAAAAGGACCATTTACGCCCACTAGACCAAAAAAAGGACTGCAAAAAACCTTTTACAACGTTTTACTATGTGTTGCAGTTGTCGATGTTGTCATTGAGGAAAGAGTTTTTTCAGCGTTTGTTCAACGTTGGCAAAAGTCAGTCTTTTGCAATGTTGAACAAACATTTCAGTAGGTCATTTTACATTTTTTAAAATTTTAATTTAATTTTTTTTGTAGAGTAATTCACATATATCAACCACAAAAACATAATAGAAAAAATCTATATCAAATAACTCCAATAATCATTAATAATTGAACTATAAAATGTCCAAAATTTTAAAACATCTAAAAATTCAATATATTTTCCAAAAAAATAAAAAAAATAAAAAAAACTATGTAGTTAGTGAAATCACCCTATCTAACTCTTTAATTTTCTTTCCAGCAATCTTCTACATGACCAGTGCCTTAAGTGTCGATCCTGGCCTATAAAAAAGGAGATAAAGGTAGACACCACATTTTAGGCTTTTATGCCAATTATAATCAAGAAGAAAAGCAAATGAAAAATAAGTAAGTTGATGAAAACAAAGCCCACAATGCTAAGATTAGATTGTAATACTAGAAGAAAATGGAAATCAGAATCTGTTGCAGCTAGCAAATGAATTGGGACAATCATGACTATGATTCGATGCGAAAACAAGAAAAGGAAATCAAATCTCAAAACAGAAAGAGAAAGAGAGAGAATAGCAAGAAAAAGGAGTGATTATAGGTAGAGATCTAGCTTTGAATTATCAAATAAATTAAAAGTTGTTCATAGTTTATGGTCAACCTGAATCCTTGAAAGATAAGGTAAAAAGGAACGAACTTAGGGACCCATATAGGAAAGTTATCTAGGAAAAGGAAATTTTTAATATCAAAGAAAGGAAATGACATTTGAATGATATGCACTATACAAGAAATCATTCCAGGACTGATTTAGTGGAATGTCTTTGCAACCGAACGAGTTGCATATATTGATACAAAATTAGATCAGTAAAAAAAAGGTAACTATAAGATGAAAACATCAACTAGATGAATAGTAAATTGTTAAGCCAAAAAAAAAAAAAGGGAGAGAGAAAGAGAGAAGCGATTGAGCTCCAAATATAAAGCACGTATAAACTGTATCTCCATTTGAATAAGCTCACTGGGCTGATTCAAAGAGAGATGCCAGTTTTGCCTTGGGAATTTCATTGTAACCAAAAGCAATTGCAACATCCTTGAATAGAGAGATTACATTCCATGTCAGTACAAGAGGCAAGGCGAGATGATCTTCTATGAGACAAATACTTTAGGAGCAATACCTCAGCCACATCACATGGATGAAGAATATCACTTTCTGTGGGAGGAACAAAAACAATGAAACTTGTTTGCTTGTCTTCTGATACAGAGTTCTCAGCATGTAATTGCATTTTGTTCAACAAGCTAGCCATCTGAAATGTGATTCTTGCATACTAGTTTAAAATATTAAATTATGTTGGTGCTTCTAAAGAAAAGTTAAAGGCAAGGTCCATACAGCAATGTCACTCATTCATTCATTTTTTTAAATAATTACAGAATGTTAAACTTTCACAAACAATTGACTATGCTGCAAGCACATAGATACTTAGATATTCATCCATCCTAGCAGAAACTGAGCCCTTGCTGGAAGCAAAGAAAACCATAGTATAAATTTATGTTTTTTAATATACACTCTTAGTGCTCGCACAAGTAAAAATCGTGAATCATTTAACTTCGAAGCTAGCACACCCAGAAATTGAAACTACCAAAACAGCCAAACAGGAAACCTTGACTTCAATCAGTAAAAATTAAAAACATTAATTCGTTAGTTCAATTCATCAACTCAGGACCCTTTCACACAACTCAGGACCCTTTGATGAAATTACAATATTTCTTTTTATCTCTGCTCATTTCTTCTATGTTATTTTCTTATCATGAAAAGTACAATTCATCTTTCAGGAGCAAGTTTACAAGTTCTCTGGGATCCCAAGAAATTGATGCCTGTTTACAAGTTTTCTGTGATCCTAAGAATTTTCTGGGATCCCAAGGAATTGAAAAGGCAAAGTCACAACAGAATAAAAATGGACATCACACTTGACGAAGAGTATGTACTCAATTCAAAATCAAACAAAATCAGGTTACAAACACACACCATTCAACTCAGGGTCAAAATATAAAGAGCCAACCATAAACTGTTAGTTCAAACCTACACTCTTCATAACAACTAAACCATTTCACACAAAATCCACTTCATAAAATCAATTAGTTAACTTATAAAGCCTAAAAAACTCTGTCAAATCTTCACTACTGGTCTATCTACTACTTCTCCACTTAAAAACCCGCTTCTTTATTCTGATTTTTGAATCTAGCATCCACGTTTCTTTCTCAACAGAAACTTAATATTTCAAGTAGCTCATCCAGCACATTCTCTTTGCCAAGATTCCTCTGCTTCACAGATAATAATGAATTAGAACGAAAATGCCCGTAGGGTGCAAACTTTTTCCTAGAATTTCCCTAACGCAATTTCCTACCGGATTGATCTCCTGACAAGTTTACATTTCTTTCCCTTGTTTGAACATAATCTCCAAGAAATGACTCAAGATCTCAACAGTTTATTGCAACCACAAGCAATTGCAGTAGTGCTATTTCTCCCATATCAATACAGCTACTTCATTTGCACTTGCAGAAAACAAACTCCAATTAAGTATCTCCAAATACAGTAAATATAAAAAAATACGCACCTTCAACAATCAATATTTTCAGAAATGAAGTAAAATGCACATATAATATGGCTAAAATTGAAGCAAAAAAGCATAAATTACTAGCCCTGATGCCAGAAGCCCCTGCTTTCTTTAATCCCTTTTTCTTAACAATGAAGCTGCCGCCAATAAAGGCACTGGAAGACAAAGCCATCACTAATCCTTTTATATTGTCAGAAGACATCCCCTTATACAAATCGGATGCCGCATCAACCCTGACACTCACCTCTGACTCCGCCATCTTTACAGAATACAGAAAAAAACCCAAAAACCAAAGAATCTCAAATAGCACAATCTGATTGCGTACAAATAGGGTTAAGCAAATAGGTTCCTTCTTAGTCAAGGGCAAGTTTTAACTACGATCCTAGTAAATTCTACTAGGTCTTGAGGATCTTAAAGTGAAAAATCAAATTTGATACTTTTTTATGGAAGATCTATAATTATCGACAGTGCAAGCAATAAAGTGTAATTGGGGTTAATTTGAGGAAATAATTGGCTAGAAGTGATGAAGACACAGCTAGAAAAAGATGTTGGATTTTTGTCTTTACTCTTTGAAATCTCAGATCTTAAAGAGGGAGAAAGGATTGGAGGAGACTCTTCTTCTTCTTTAGGTTGAAAGTGGAGAAAACAACAAATCTAAAAAATTCGGGTTGACATTGACGATTTGAGGGAAACCGGGACGGGGGCGACCAAGCGAGAGAGAGAGGGAAATGGAATGTTAGGGTAGGATTGTGTTTTTTCCTTCTCATTTTCTAATTTAAGCCCTTTCTTTTCTTTTCTTTCCTTTTTAAGGTGTTTTAGTGACGTTTGAAAAAACATTGCTAAAAGTTAGACATTTTACAACATATTTTTAAATGTTGCAAAAAAATAGCATTTTGAAAAAGTCTAACATTTTGCAACGTTAAAACGTTGCAAAAAATAAAACTTTTAGCAACGTTCAACAAACGTTGCGAAAATTAGCATTGGCAACATTTATTTAAAAAAATGTTGTCAAAACTCAATTAAATTAACTAATTACAACATTCATTTATTAGAATGTTGTAATAGACTCTTTTAACAACACTTCACTATTGAATGTTGCCTTTTATGTGTTGCAAATGACCATTTTTGGTGTAGTGGCCAAAAATGAAAAGATTTGGAATCATTTTCATCAAATTTGAAAGGTTTGGATCAAAAATGCTATTTGATCAAACGTTTGTGACCATTTACACTAAAACAACAAATTCTATTATCAAGAATCATTGTTTTCGAAATCTTGAATATTTTAGAGCTTACTCAAAATTTGTTGTTTCTTGAATTATCAGAACTTTGGGTTCAAGAAAATGATGAAAAAAATCCACTTTCCTAAAATATTCTCCTAGTTTCTTGAGTTCTTATAACAGAGTACAAGACAATTGTGAAGAAGATCAAATAATCTAATTCTAGTCCCTCATTGCAATTTTTTTCTTCATAAAAAGCCAATTCTTGTAGTTGTATTATTATTTGTAAGAAGGCCAGAAAATGAGAAATTTAAGTCTAAACTTTTGAATTTCACTGCTTGTCATTTTGTAGCGATCAAAATTCTACATGAAGTTATATGCATGGTATAATTTAATATAATCAACTTTGTTAGTCATATTATTAGTTGGTTAAATCATAATCAAGTCAAGAATGTACATTAAAGTGTGGTTGTCATTAACTTATAGTGGACCTCGTGAACTTATTAATTCGTAGGACAGTTACATCCAACAGTATAAATCAGTCAACTGCTGTTAATCCTTAGTAATTTTAGTACACTATTTATGTTACACTAGAAATATAATTTTCAGCAATAGTTTTGTGTTGTGTTCATAATGCACAACTAATCAGCATAGGTAACATAAAATACTCTAAGCTAATGATATAGAATCCAACTCCAAGCCTATACTGCAAGTTCACGCATTGTATGAATATTCATACATGAACTTGGGAGCCATTGTTATGCCTCTTCTGAAGAGGCTCCAAGTTATGACTCATGTGGCAACAGTTAAGAAAATCACGAAGGCCTACACTTCACGTTATTTCCTATCCGGTCGAGGTGAGCTCATACATGGTAGTCGAGGTGATTTGATGCTTCAATCGAGGTGCCATGTTAAGGTGTACTCTTCATTGATGAGGTGAAGTGTTACAGTGCTGCAGAGAAAAAATACTAGGAGCCCGTTTGAGCCAAATTATTTGTAAAATGAGAATGAAAAATAGAGTTGTTATGGGCCCCACACAAAAGATTAAAATTCAAAAATGGTGGCTTGATATGATGGATAACGATCATATTTTTCATTTTAACGAGGTAAAAATGGGGCTCAAACAGGGCCTAGGCTCTCAACCACCACATTAGCAAATAGTATCACCTAGAAAATCTTTCATATATGATCTTCCATTTATGGTTAATGTGACAACACACTGTAGCAGATGCTATATCGAGTTAATATGTCAAGTCTAGCTCCTAGGTGTTAGACCTAGGGTTGCCAAAGGTCATAACATTAAATGCTGCAGAGCTTATGATGGATGGATTGCTGCCTAAGAAAGGACATCTCGATCGTTAGGATGAGACCACGTGTCTTTCCATCCAACAATCTGCATCTCGCCTCTTTTACTATAAAAATTCACACATTGTGTCATTCAAAAATAATGTAAATTTAGCCTTTCAAAACTATAAATTTGCTCTCAGTTTATTCATTTCATACTCTCTAGATCCAACCTCTTTATACTTAGTGGCACACGTATCTAGCACGTCCCACACCTCTTCACTCATATATTGTTGACTTGTTCATCGAAGTGCAAGATGAGACTGAGCATCGGCCGATCGTCATGAATTAATAAGAAATTGAGAGTAGAGGGAATTAATGATTATTATTCTTTTTTGGGAAATTTTGTCTCAAAATATGCCAAGTAAGTTAATGATATTAATTTTGCTGCTAGATAGTAATGGTGTGTGTTGTTAAGGCATCAGACACCATATTTTCTTCAGTGCAAATGTGTGATACCCTAACATTCATAAAACCTAAAATTTGCATGCACTACAACCATCTTAAATGAATTTTCTACGACACTGAGGTTCCTCTTGAGGCAAGAAGTTGAACTACATAAATTGAGTAATTTGAGAACCCATTGTTCCAAGCATATTGAGTCCCAATTACCACTGTTGTGGAATGAATCTTCAATCGATGAATTTCAAGCTGAGATTAAACTTACCAATCAATATGTCAACCAACCAATCAAAAACTTCAAGCCCACGACTCCAATTCACTTATGGTTGCGTTCCCTTTTTCTCACCCACAAAAGGGACAATAATATGGTGGTATTTTGCAAGCCACAAAGGCAAAAAGAAAACAAGAAGAACAAGGACTTGAAGAGACCACAAGGGAGGCAACTGGTTTTGTTCTCTTCTCAAACACAAGCAAAAACACACGGCTCTTGCAAAGGGAGTTGATATATATAGCTTTAGGTATATTACCAATTGGGCTAAGACACAAAAGGATAGGCCAAGACACAAAGTAATGGCCCGAGACACGAGGAAGCCCTCCAATAAGTGAACTTGGGCCAATGCAACATTAAAATCAATTAAGTTGCAACTAGTAGCCCACATTGTTTTCGGGTCAAGTATATGAATTGATTGGTTGATAAATATTTCGATCATCAGCCGCGGCCTATGAAATATAATTAGACACTGTTTAATATAATTGCCCGAAATTTGTTGGATCATAATTACATACCATACCTGCTCCATGAACTCACTGAGGCTAAGGTCAAGGACACCCAAGTAAGAACAAATATTTACAGTGAACAGTCAAGAGCAAATAAACATGCGATGATGATATATTATAGTATAACACACATAGATCTTTTGAGAAACACGTTTACATAGAACCACAGATTAACACCAAGTCAATCAAACACACGGTCAACCATATATGCAACATATACATAAATGACCCCACGAAAAGATCTTACCACACTTATTTTATCCTATTTCGTGTTGCTCACATGTCTAGAATACATATCTCCTCTCATTGCCCACCATGCTCACTAGACTGATCACTAAACCTATATCTAACTGGTTGGTCACAATAGATCTTAAGTCATTGGGATAATCTTCTATCACCACATCACTTGTCCTAACCTACATGGATAATGGGTCTTCACTTAATAGAAGTGATAGAAGTATCTCTCTTACACTCCACCTGTACAAGGTCTCTTTACAAATAAAGGATTTCAACATTTAATCACCTCTCCATTCGTTATCCAAATGTCACACTACACATCCCTGGTACAAATCACCATGTACCCTTAGGCATCTATACTCCACCTCACTAAAAAGATATCTAATATACTACTAATGCATCCTAAACCCATTATGCATACAAACAATTACACCAAATAATCATATTATCTTAAATTCATGTAAATGCACATATCCAATACATTGAAATGCAACATGCAATCATTCTACAAGAATTAGACAATCACGCACATGCAAAAAGGATCACTCACAGATACACATGCAGTATCTATGTTTACTCTCAATAAATCTCACTAGGGTCATCAGTCGATCCTAAAGCCACATTCACCTTAAATCTCATCTTACCATTGTGCTTATCTTCTTAGGATAGTCCCTAATAAAGTGTTCAGACTTACTACAACTGTAACACCTTCTACCACTAGACTTGTCCCGTCCCTTGCCTTTCTTCTTACAACCCTCATCACAGAAAGTTACTACTCGAATCACTATTGTCCCGAGCTCTACCCAGATTCATTTGCTTAAACTTCATCCTACTCCTCATCACATGTATCTCATCACCCTTCTTATTCTCTTATTCAGCTTTAATCTCCATCTCTCTACTCCTAAGTAAGTCTATGACAATCTCAGGTATTAAGGTGTCCCTACAATACTTAATTGCATTCTTAACTTCTTTACATGAATCAAGCATGGAATTAAACAGGATAATAGCCTTATATGTTTCAGACACCTTTTCATCACAATTAACAATATCTTGAACTATTTTGTTAAAGACATCTAAATTGTCGTCAAAGTCCTTTGAATGATCCATCTTAGCACTGAAAAATCTTTCAATCAAGTTCAATTGTTAGGCGTAGATTTAAGCAAATATAAGTCTTCCAACTTTTTTCAAAGTTCTTTAGTAGAATCAAGTTTTCCTACTTTTCTCAAAATAGTATCAGATAGGTGTAAAATGATTGAAGTGTGAGCAAGTTCATCATATTCTTCTTTTTATGCTTATGTTAAGTTTGTAGAAAATTTATCATCTATAACTTTTGAAACCTTTTGTTGGACCAAAATGCTCTTCATCTTTTGTTGCCAAATTGAAAAATTTAATTTTCCATTAAAAATTTCGACTTCAAAGTGTGAAGACATTTTAAGAAAATGGAACAACCAAATGCAAAGATAGGTCACACAAAGTTATCCAACGATTGCAATGTACATCGTTCTAGATTCCTAAGGTTTCGTAAGATTTACGATCTTAGATAAAGAGAATGTTCGAACGGGTCAACTCCAGGTATTCTAATAGGATAATCAATAAAACATGAATGTATGTAAACAAAAGTTTGAATTTTCACGCAACATAGTCTCACACAGTGACTATATGACTGTTAAAACACAAAATCAACTTTCAACTTGCAATCAAAAGTCAACACTTCAAAATATGGCAAATAATTTCTAAATTTCTACCACAAGCAGTGTTGCC